ATGATATTCAGTTATATTTATCTATGAAGCCAAATGAATCAGATCAGTTGGTCAAACTTCAAGCATGTCTTGAAGACATAAAAGCCTGGATGGCCTGTAACTTCTTACTTCTAAACTCAGACAAAACTGAAGTAATTGTGCTTGGCCTTTAAATTGTTAGAAATCTGCTGTCTAACCACATAGTTACTCTAGATGACATACTGTAGCTCTGGCCTCCAGTACTGCTGTGAGGAACCTTGGAGTCATTTTTGACCAAGATATGTCCTTTAAATCACACATAAACCAAGTCTCTAGAACTGCCTTCTTTCACCTGTGCAATATTGCTAAAATCAGGATCATCCTGTCTCAAAGTATTGCTGAAAAACTGGTCCATGCATTTGTTACTTCCAGGCTGGGTTATTGTAACTCTTTACTATCAGGATGTCCCAATAATTCCGTAAAAAGCCTCCAATTAATCCAAAATGCTACAGCCAGAGTACTGACAGGAACTAGCAAGAGAGATCATATCTCTCCTATATTAGCTTCTCTCCAATGGCTCCCTGTAAAATTCAGAATAGAATTTAAAATCCTTCTCCTAACATACAAAGCCCTTAATGACAAGGCTCCATCATAGCTTAAAGACCTCGTAGTGCCTTATCATCCCAACAGAGCACTTTGCTCTCAGAGTGCAAGTCTGCTTGTAGTTCCTAGAGTCAACAGAAGTAGAACGGGAGGCAGAGCCTTTAGCTATCAAGCTCCTCTCCTATAGAACCAAGTCCTAGTTTCATTTCGGGAAGCGCACACTCTCTCTACCTTTAAGAGTAGACTTAAGACTTTTTTTTTTAATATAGCTTATAGTTAGGGCTGTATCAGGTGACCCTGAGCCTTCCCTTAGTTATGCTGCTATAAGCCTAGGCTGCTGGGGGGGCCCCATGATGCTCTGAGTTCCTCTCCCCTCCCCTCCATTACTAACTTTGTGTCTCCTCTCTCCCGTAGTGTGTCCTATCTCTTTACCTGTACCTTTCTGCCGGTTGCCCTGGCTCTGGAGCTCTATGTTTCTGATGAGCAGTCACCAGCCACATCAACCTGACCAGTGTTTGTTGTGTCTTGTTGCTTTTCTTATTTTGTCTCTCCTCTATCCACTCACCCCAACCGTTCGAGGCAGCAGGCTGCCCACCAAAAGACGGGCTCTGTCGCTTCCATTAAAGGGAGTTTTTCCTCCCCACTGTTGTCAAGTGGGATTTGTTGGGTTTTCCCTCTGTAATAATAGTGATAATAATAAGGTCTAGACCTTACTCTTAAAGTATCCTGAGTTGACTTTTGTTGTGATTTGGCACTATACAAAAAAATTTGAATTTGATTTGATATTAATGTACTGTTTTGATCCATAAAGCATAAATAGCTTGGCAGGAGCATTCAGTGGTAGGCCTGACAATTCCACAGAAGGCCCTCACCATCGATAGGGCAAAACCAGCCATTATCCCTTCCTCTCACTTCTTCCTTCCATCCCTCTCTCTTCCTGTAGCTGAGCTCAGCACTGATATCTCCCAGCCTGTCCCACTGTCTTGGTCTTTGCACTAATGTGGCGGATAAGGAAGTGTCAGTGGGATCCAGCCAGGTCAGGTCAGGTCAGGTCTCAGCCCTGGGATCGTGATTTCACAACTGCTCTGCGGGCCTGCTGTCCCTCACCTGTACTGAGCCCTCCACATGTGTTTCCTGTTGTTTTTCAAACTAGCAGCATTGTGCTAGGTCCACTGCACCATAGCTGGGACCTTTTCCTGAGGCTTTGTTTGGCCTGGCCTCTGGGAATGGTTTAAATTTAGATGTGTGTGACAGAAGACCCCACTATCTACATGATCACCATGTGTACCACAGCCAGTGTAGTAGAGCCTCATAAATACTGCCTAACTACAGTAATTTTTTTTAAAAACACCACTTACCTCCCCTGCCTGTCTAAATTTATGACCTTAGTACAGATTAGATCTCTCCACAAATGCAAGAAGGAGCTAGAAAAACGGAGAAGGGTGTGTTTATATATATTCTGCAAGGTTACTCAGTACTAGCCTTTTATTAAATACTAGAAATATCTGAACTGCTTTATCCAGTAGATCTGTTCCTTTAACAAAATATTTATAACCAAGTCTGAATTAAAATTCATAGTTGGCTTCAGAAAAGGTAGCCTGACAGTGTTACAGATTTACTCAAGGGTCATCTGGCTTTTTCCAGAACTTTCATTCATAGCATAAGTATGGAAGACTGTCACTGAAAAGACAAGGGGTTTCCATCCCCAATAGACAACGTTTTATACTTAGGTCACATGTTGACAACTGAGCTACTGTAAGTAATTCTCTGCTGATGACAACTACGAAATGCTTCTAAAAGTTCCAGAAAAAAGCTATCAAGTGGGCCTTATGCTATGTTTTTTGGTCTGCAAGTTGTCCCTGTATCACCAAGCTTATACTACTGTAATTCCAGTATTGGAAACTTAATGATGTTTCCAATACTGACTTGGGATCAGTTTCAACCAGCAGATTTATCTAGATAACCTTGTTAAGTAAAATCAGGAAAGAAAAGTTATCAGGATAATATGGTAAAACTGATTCCCTTGTTTACATGTACACTATGTCAGCACCTGTTCTGCTTTTTTTTTCATTTGTAATACAAAACAAGAAAAGAGAAAACTTCAACAGCAGGGATAATCTCACATACTGGAGCTGTGAAATAGCTTCAAGCTCCATTTGTGATGTTCAGAGCCTCATTTGATACTTTACTACAAATACTGGAAACTCAGATTATAAAGAAGTGGACCAGTTTATTCAGTTCAGCTGATTTTAAATAGCAGCTGGCTACAGAGCAGGTCAGAGTATGTGCAGGTCCTCCAGCTAAAGCTGAGACATCAACACAGACAGCTCATCCCTTTGGAGCCTTTAAACAGATGTGATCAAAAGTGTACCGAAACTGTTTGTAATGGACGGAGTTGGTGTGTTAACATTTTTCAAAGAACGTAACCAATAGGTAAGGCCTGTTAATTAAGTCTACCTACTGATACAACAAAGTGTCTACATGAATGAATAGAAGGCTGCAAAATGTCAAGAGACAGTCAGTGGGAATCTTAATCTTGGGAATATTAACCACTGAAAACTGCACTTCTATTTTTTACTTAATTATCTCTAGTGGAGTGTGAGGGCAGGCTGTTTGTACTGCCTCTGATTTTTTCGTAAAGGGGGTGGGGGTGCATAGAGACTTTATTAAAATCAGCCTCTGCTGCTTGAGAGCAGGACTCGTCTGCTCTCTCTTAGGCTCTCTCCTGATGATGCCGATGTTTTTGTTTGTGGCCCTTCTAATTGAAACAATACCAGAACCCAGTCCACCCCTCCACTCTCGCAGAACATGATGCTCTCGCATTTAAAGGATCTCAGGAGGCCCCTTGGTGTTGTCCCGCAAATGTTTTCCATTAAGGAACCAGCACGCTAATTTACAGTGTGGTGAGAAAAAAACTAATAGCTCGGTGATTTGCTCTCTGTCCCCTGCAGCGAACCGCTGTCGTCGCCCCTCCTTCTCCTGTGTGTGTTTCTCTCTCTCTCTCCTCCTTCTCTTCATTCCTGACACAGCAGTACTGTGCCAGTGTGTGACATCACAGCCCTCTTCTCCAGAAAATGTCCAAACATTCTCAGCAGCAAATAGAGCAGGGACAGGAGAATGGCTTCCATATGAGGTACACTCCCTTTTTTATCTCCCTCCTTTTCTACAGGGGCTGATATTAAAGAGCATGATGGGAGGACAAGAGGTAGAAGAAACAAGAAAATTGGCCATTTATTTTTCTGAAAGAAATTTTAAATGCAGCTTTCATCTTTAGCTGGTGCAGCGAGTTTGCCACCAGCCAAGGCTAATCTCCCAAATCACTGTAGCATTTCTGTGTAGACAGGAAAGACTGCTCATCAGGTCTCTTCTCTCTCACTCTGTGATTGAGGAAATGGTAACTGGATCATGGTACAGGGCTGTTCTCCTTCCAGCCACCACAGGTTTAGCTTGGCTGCAGGCCAGCCAACTGCCTGGAGCATGGGAACATCCTGCCTCCCTGGCCTGACTGTAGCACCAGGTCCCATTGAAGCACTGTACACACCAACCCGCACACCTAAACACACACATGCATGCACACAAGATCATTTGTTTATTTGTGTCCACATCAATGGAAGAAATATATGAACATTAAAAATGTATTTTTCAATGAGCATATAGGGCTGATATGAAATCACACACAGTGAAGAGGTACACTGTCACATATAAGAAATGGTTCAGCATAGTGTGTGTGTGCACACTGTAAATAATTTTCCTGTAAAATAACAGTAAAGAGACGCCAGCATTATACCGTTATTTGTACAATATTCGTACGTAAAATGACTTTACGGTAGTAGTCTGTAAACCAGAAAAACGGTATATGTCTGTAGTTCTATAATTTACGGTAAAGAGCTGGCAGCAGGGATGCCAGCATTATACCGTTATTTGTACAGTATTCGTACGTAAAATGACTTTACAATAGTAGTCTGTAAACCAGAAAAACGGTATATGTCTGTAGTTCTATAATTTATGGTAAAGAGCTGGCAGCAGGGACGCCAGCATTATACCGTTATTTCTCAGGGCTATAGACAATTGCTTAAGATATGCATTATTGGGAATATTATGCAAAATATGCATGGTGGTAACTTGGCAGGTAACTTCAAACTTCAAAATCAAATATCTTTATTTCAAAGTGCAATGTCAATATCAACATGTATACAAAAAATGTCGAAAAAGAAAATAAATGTTCTTGTGGATCCAGGAGAGATGACCATTACTTTGGTAGCCACTGTTCCTCTCTGCAGCATTATTCCAGTGTCGCCACTGTCAAACAACAACAAACAATCATAATAATAAATAAACTATACAATCAGGAATGTACAGTATACACTCCAGGCTAATGCTTCTAAAGTTAATAATACCAGTTCTCTTGTGGCTTTATGTGGCAATGCTAGACTGTCAAAACAAAGAGAGCGAGATTAAAGAGGTCACCGATCTATATAAAGTCCCATTCAAAGTCAAGGAGATTCTTCAGTAGCATGGCGACGTGTGTATTGACTGCAGAAGACTTCTTCTGGACGATCACACCTTTCTTCTTGGAGACAACCTTGCCCCTTTTGGCCTTTGTCCCTCTCTCTGGATTTATACCAATGAAGCGCCTGAAATCAAAATAGTCTAAGATCAGAGTGGGGTTGCAACAACATACTGTTTTGTGTACATTAAATGCAATGAATTGTTTTTTGTCTTTCTTCATTGCACTAATAGAGTGGACTTGAATGACATATAGAAGTGACATCAAAAGAAATTATAAAGCCTATAGTCCAACAAAATACCCAGTCTGTGTGTGTGTGTGTGTTGTGGCTTGAAATGTACAGTACTAATACCATTTTATGCAAAGAAATACAAACACATTAATTTAATTGTATATATCCATATAATGATGACAAGGAATGATGGGGTTTTACCGCTGAATGAATTCCAGAGTGCAGGCTGCCTCATCTTGATACTGAAGGTTGAATATGTAATAGATAGCAAAGACAGCAGCAAGTCCCGTTGCAAATGATGGTGTGATGCCCTCAGAGATTACAGAGATTACCCTCAAAGGTGATCATCCAACCTTTAATTGTGACTTGCCCTGTTGCACCTGAAACTTCAAGTCATAGCAACATGGGAATGCATGTTACCTTGTGTAAATATTTGTAAACTCAAGATGAATGGCCGATATACTGTGTCTATCACAGAATCTAAATGAAATGTATACCAGGCAGTATCAGGCGAGGACTTGCAGGAAGACTGAGAGTTGTCTCAACATCAGCTGCAGTGGCAGACACCTGTAGGGAACAAATACATTATGCTTACCATAATAAGATTTTTAAGAAGAAAAATTATAAAAAGGTCAATAATTAGTAAACACTAGGTGAGAGTAACCTAAAGGTGAAAGAGGAAGGCTTCTGAAGCACCTACAGTCAAACTGCTAAATAGATTTGGCATTCAAATTTTAAAGGGTAACAATTATATCTTTACAGGTCTTTGGGAAGTTCTACTGCAAATGTCTAAAAAGTAGTATGAACCCTTTGTGGCTCCAGAGGAAACTGCACCTAATCTGATAAAGAGCCCCCACGGATGTCACTCAGTGGTCAAGTAATAAGAAAGGAGTGAGCCTGAGAGGGAAGAGGAGAAGGACCATGCTACCGTGAGCAGTGTACCACCAGCCCGGCCTCGGAGGGCTGGTGGGAGACAACGACTGACTGGGGCCGACTGACTGGGACTGACACCAAATGACCTGACTGACTGGTGCTCTGACAATCTTCTTAGGCTTTATTTATTCCATTGCAAGAGGGGAGTCTCTGATCTCTACTCTCTGTTCCCTAATTACAAGATTATCTGTTTAAATGCTACTCTATTTAGAATAATTGTAATATTAAAAGATCCTTTAAATTGTAGTGGTTTGTCTGAATTAATTTAGTTGATATCTCACTCTTGCCACGACATTAGAAAGAAAAAATAAAATTTACATCTGTAAGAAGGATCAGCCCGGTTAGGTCCTCTCCAAAGTGTGCCATGAGCAGCTGAACAACACAAAGTGCTTTCTCATCATCTTCACCATTAGTGAGGATAGCCTTGACATCTTTGTTGGTAGGTTTTACCCTGAAGTATTCTGTGATGGCTCTTCCACATTTCTCCATACTGAGTTCCAAGCTACGAAGCACATTGATGTCTGTGAGCAACTCAAAATGTGCGTATATAAAAGGCCATTTGCTTTTCACATCTTCAATGTCAGGTGGTGGAATTGTATTTATATGGCAGCGTTGTAGAGAGAATGTGAGCTTCATTAGATTTTTAACTTCTGCTCTTTCTGCTCCACCTGCCCCCTCCTGCCTGTAGATCTCCTCCAGTCTCTGGCGGTGCTGCTCCACAGTGTGATCAGTTTCTTCTGGGGGTAGCTCTGGCTGAAATCGTGTACATCCATATGTGTCAGTTGGACCCCTCTTGCCTGTAGAGGTTCGGTGCCATGAGAAGCTTCCATCACGGTTCACATTCTCAATGCGGTTTTTCACTTGAATCAAAAGTGATGTATAACCTCCACACAGAAGTGACCCATCTGGTGCAATATCAGCAAAACTCTTTGGGTACTGCCTGATGATATTTCGAACCACAGTTAGGCACTGTGCACGAGTGGGGTTAGCTTCATACTTTCTCATTTCATCTGCGAGTACTCGTACCATCTGGCGTCGCTCCACTGGTTTAGGTCTCTTGCCATCTGCAATTGCAGAACGAATTTCCTGTGGCATTTGTTCCCAAGGGACCTGGAATGTTTCTGGCCATGTTTTCAGTAGTAGAGATGTGAAAGGTCTGTGGCTTGGCTCGCTGCTTCTTGCCTGGCTTGAACATGATGGAATGGCTGATAGCTGTGATAAGCTACAATCAGGCGGAGTGCATAATGTTGGTGATGAAGACCCAGACACCGACCAATCACTACTCAGTGGTGACGAAGTTGGAATGGCTTGAAAATCCAATGTAACTCTCTTGGTTTCTGAAAAACAAGCAAAAAAACAAACAAACAAAAAGAATTAGGGTACATAACTAATAAGCTATATCAGAGTCACTGCAGACATTTGGCCAAAAGTGTACTTAACTCTCCTTATATTAGGCATATTTGAAAAGTGTAAAGGTGCATTATGTAGTTTTTAGAAAAAAGAAATTCCACAACTGAATAAACAAGAGACTATAACAAGCGAATGCCACACTAAATTAACCATACATTACCTAATTTGAATGCATCCAGGAGTTTTCTGCACTGGATAACAGGTAACAGATCAGCAATGTCTTCCTGTTGTACATATTTTAAGTCTTCTTTTGACTCCAAGCCGGAGCTCTGAAGTTTCGATATTATTTGCCACTGGGTCTCTTCAGACAGATTTGGCAAGGTCTTGCAGATGATCCCTTTGATTTCTTCACTCATGTTCGCCATCATTCAGGACTAGAGGGCAAGAATGGTGAAGAATTATCAGTGGCGTGCCATGGACGGTGTACTCAGGCAAGGGATAGTAGTCTAGTAGATTCTCCTGATTAATACAACAGTAGCTTCTTTGCATCAGTGTGAGGCTGTAAACACCCATGTCAGGAATACGCAGGGCATGATACTTTTCAGCAATAAAATATACTGCTGAATCCTTATGAACAAGAACCACTTTGATTTTTCCAGTAACAAGCCCCTCATCATCATCATCAATCACAATGTGCATGTTCTTTCTGTATTTTGTCCCCTTCACAGTCACTTCATTGGCTATCAGAGTGTTTGTGGACTCAAAATTGTGATGTGCAACTGCTTCTATGATTACATCATTGTAGTCATCTGAGAAAAACTGTGTGCCCCTCTCCACTGAAACACCTGGAGGGAAGAAGGTACCAGCACTCAGAAAGGCCTGTAGAAGCTGATGTCTCTCTGCAAGAGTAGAACATGGATTCTTAAAGTTGCGCAATTTTCTCAAACACTGCTTAAAATATGTGTGTTTGCTCTCAAATCTTAAAGTCCATAGGCGAATAAGTGGCCCAAACTGGATAATGAGCTCCGGATAATGTCTGACATAATGATGTTTGGGCTTCAGTGGTTTGTCAGGAAAGGTTTGCATTTGGCAATGCAAATATTCATCAATCAAAACTCTTAAGTAAGCTATCTGGCCATTTGAAATTGCAGGTGCACAACTGAGGTCCACAACTTCTCTAAGTTGCAAAACCAACTGCCATACTTTGTTGTCACCTGGATTTTTTACTTTGTCTCCGATCAAAACGGGCAACATTCTCAGCAAACACCAATTCTGCACAGCATGTCCCCCAAGTTTTCCTCCTTCTGGATTAACCTCACACGGTTTGTCATTAGCATCCCTACCGAGATACTTGAACTGATCTATTCTTCGATTCAACTCAAGATAGCTAAACATTTTATCCACCTTAACAAGATGGTTCATGTACAGTGCTAGATCAGAGGATACAATACCTTCAAAAAGATCGTGGCCAAGACATGGAGGCAACCCTGGCTGACATACATGGAAGTATTTGAGAGTGTTAAACACAGAGTCAAATTTAACACCTCCACTAGATGTAGACTGTCCTTCACTGCTCTGAACATGACCACTGTATGACTGCACTGTGCGTTTTGTGCCCTGGATAAGAGGATCTGCATGGAATGCTTCTCTGCTGATATCACAATATCTGCAGAAGTGTGAACTCCTGCTGACGTTCTCCACAAAGCCTCCTATGTTTTGTGAGCCTAGGTTATCGCCTGCAATGGCACACAAAGTTCCCTTGTAGACCTTTCCATCAGACAGGGTAACACCATTGAGCTCAAGATCTTTAAGGTCACTGACGAGGGTGCCCATAACCAAGTCTTGACCAAAATACTTAAAATCGTGTTCTTTACAGAGAAGGACAAGTTGTATTTGATCAGTGCTGGATCTGTTATGTAGCATTAAAAATGCAAGAGTTAGATACATTGCAAGTATCTTATGCTTTTTCTTTCCAGATCCCAGTGGGTTTACCACTTCAAATGCATCCTGATACAGGATCAAGCTCAGTGATGAGCTCTCCATCTGGAAGAGCACATTCTCTGCCATATTTTTGCCATCCCACACATCCTTAAGAACATCCTTAGAACCAATACTGGAGTGTACTTGCTTATATTGTTCCTGCACCGATTGGCAATGGAATAGAGACTCAATTGTCTGTTTAATAGGAACATACTGGGCAAAACACTCTTTGCCTGCCTCATTCTGACCTAGACAGATCTGGACTGGCTCAACATAGTTGAAGCTGTTCTTGAAAACAGTTTTTCTTTTCTGATCAGTTTTCAGTGGCTGAGTGTTGCAGGTCGTAAAGAGATCCTCCGTTTTCATGACTTCAATCACATTGTTTGTGTCAGCTTCAGAAATCCCAAGTGTAATCAACTTCTCTTTTAGTTTGAAAAGCAAATGTGACTGGCTTATATCATGTATTTCCTGAAAATCTTCAATAATTGTTTGGATGACAGAGGATGGAAGCAAACACTTTGCTTGCAATTTCAAATAAAAAAGGGCTAAATTTGTAAAGAACTGTGATTCATCAGCAATTTCTGGGTAAATCTCTTGTTCATCACCTGCATCACTGGGAGGATCAATCTGCATATCAGACTGATCTTGTTCACTCTCATGGGAAACACCAGGATTCACAACGGACTCAGCCAAAGTTTCCTCAGCACCATTTTTATGTTTCCAACTCATGTGTGATGTGAATGTTGATAAAACTGTAAAGCTCTTGCTACAGTGTCTATAAGGACAAGTGACTGTTTTCCCCTCGCAAATGTGTGTTTTCAAATAAGAGTAAAATGCCGTCAGAGTCTCACACCTTGCACTGCAGATATCAACATGACATGTTAGTTCAACACCAGACAAAGTAGGCCTAACTATACGTTTGTTATGTCTGTAAATGTGACACTTAAACATTAAAAAGTATTGAAAAGTCTGACTGCAACCTGGCAAAACACACTTAAAAGTTAAATTAGGTGTATTTTTATGAATTCTCATGTGCCTTACATATGTCACTATTGTGGCACAGTTATGACAACAGATCTGACAGGGGAACATTTTGTTACTGCCCTATGGCAAGTTCCCTTTCATCAACAAACATGCATTAGTCTTGATTACGGCTGCTTTTTAGTGACACCGTATCAGTCTTCACGCAGAAATGTTTAACCTTAACCGAGTTGCAATGTTAAGATTGTGAAAGAAAAGCCACAGATGATGCAAAACCGTTTGACAAAGCCTCTAAAACAGTTGGGAAACGCACAGCGACAGATAAATAAACAAAATGC